CTATACTATACTATATACTATACTATACAATACATTTCTTTAAATGATTGTTTGGAAGACTTATTACCTAATTATTAAAATGGTGTTATTTATTTTTAGAATGCAGGAAACACAGGACCCAGAAGGTGTTCCTCTATGAGAGCATTGGGGAAAGAAGAGTTTTTAATGTAAGTGTGTTATAATTTCTTCCTTTTTGTTTTTCTTGTTAAATAACATAAAAACGTACAGAACATTATTGGTACCGTCTACAGACCATCAGTGAGATATCTGCACAGAGCCCAAACGATACTAACATATAACGCCTCTGAATCCAGAGATACACAAGTATCCACTATCGTACAAGTATGGAGCAGTGAGGTTCCTCAATCCATCCTCGACACTGCACCTTTTGTTGTCATTGTAAGCATTACAGGACTACGTTTTGCATCACCTTATAACCTTGTGTTGTAGGAAACTCCCAGTCTTAAAGAAGCTGCTCCATACTGGTACGATAGTGGATTCTTCTGTATCTCTGGTTTCAGATGCTGTTGTCTGTTAGTATTGTTTATGTGTAGAAATCTAACCTTATTGATGGTCTATAAATGGTACAAATAATGTTCTGTAAAGTTGTATCACCTAACTTTGTAAAGTATCTCTCATTAATATTTCTGTCCATTTCATATCATGCCTTTCAGCAAAGACAAGAAGTGAAAATTCGCTGGACACCATGCTCCAAGTGGTAAGTTTTTCCTTAATGACCATACATGTATGTGTTGTACTGGAAGCAAAGGGTTTATACACTGATACAGTAGGCTCATCTCAATTGAATACTTTTGTATTGTATGTTGTTATGTAATTTGTCCTACAGAAGAGAGACACAAATCACTAACATATGTATTATTATTAGTTATCAGTTACCCGTATTTGTATATATCCTAAATGTTTGACGTGCTGTGGGTCTACCACACATGCATCACAAACCACAAGTAAGAACAGTACGTTATTATTTTATAATCAAAAAATTATTATAGAATTTGTAAGTATATTTCACACACTTTAATGTCTTTATAGAGTTCGATCTCCTGATTCGTTTAAGAGATTTAATATATTTTACTCTTAATGAAGCACTTTAAACATTTAATGACTCTGATCCTCCTTTAACGGTAAGAACAGCTGCAGTGAGCAGAGGCTGTGCAGCTGGGGGCGGAGGTCTGATGCGCGAGTAGTGTGCTCTCGTGTATCCTACCTTTCGTCTCCTCTGGAAGCCTCCTCCCTCACCCCTCCTCGACTCCTCCGTTTGCGTTGAAGCGATTGTGACGTCCTTCAACATGGCGTGTCTTGATTGATTTCCGGGTCAAGTCCCGGAGGAGGGGGAGAGAGGAGTCGAAGAGGGACATTGAGCTGAAGCTAATGTTTCAAATCCTATTTTAAATTGACTTACTTGCCTGATTAAGCATCAGAAATATATATAGCATGACATATTAATAATTATTCAACTGTTCTTTATGTGTGTTTTGCAGTGGCAAGGACTGGGAGGACACATGGGAGCCTGCCCAAAACTATAGCAGCTCAACATAATAACACACACACACAGACACAGACACACAGACACAAACACACACACACACACACACACATACACACAACACACACACACACAGACACATACACACACACACACACGCACACACACACACACACACACACACACACACACACACACACACACACACACACACACACACACACACACAGACACACACACATACACACACACACACACGCACACACACCACACACATAATACATTTTTTCAATAAATTGTTTCAATAAATTGTTGTTTCTGTTGTGTATTTTTTGTACAATTATTTCTCAATAGGGTAAAGCCATTTAAAATGTTTTAGTTTTTGGTATGTTAATGCAAATGTGACAATCATTATTTTCGGGCTGCCTCAGTCTTAAAACACAAGATAGATATCAATTTTTGTTATGGTCTTCTGTATATGTCATGAATAATACTGGTACAATTTGAATTTGCCCCAAAACGTGGAAACGCAGACCAGATCTTCTAAATGCCAGGGACCGGAACATCAGGAGCATCTCTAAAAGACGATATGTGACAGTCCTGCAGCAACGGACCATATGAGAAACATTATGTTAAAACCTAGAAACTTATTCTAAACCTACTATCAAAGTATTCACCTGAAATGTAGCACAATTTGGCTCCTGTTAAAAGCACTATTTGAAAATGTAGATTTGTCAGGTCAACATGTGACTTATCTGGTTTGCTATAACAGTTTTACTCCCCAGTTGAACTGTATTTGACAATCATTAAATTCACAAACATAATTTGGGAAATAAATCAAAGACAATAGTGTAAATAAGAAAAGTTTAGTTTTTGAAACTTGTAATGGAGACGTTGATACATTAACTGTCAGCAGTATTTATTGTTACTTTGTAATTCTACTCCACCACAATTCAGAGGGTAACCTTAACCTATTTGGCACATCCCTTTCAAGATGTTCTAAGGTTTATTGACATATCATATACACAACTACGGTGTAGTTATGCAATGAATGACAAACCTCGCAGGTTCGTCAACAGTGCATTACAAGAGATCTATCAATATGTTTATACCTCCACCATTAAACAGTCATATTCTGCACATTTCTTATACTATCTACATACATCTTATAAGAGTATAATTAATATGTAATGTCAGTTAAAATAAGTGCTTAAACGTAGTTAACATTGCAGGAAAGTTGATTGTCAAGTCCCAAAACAAATTATGCAGTTGCCAACTCTCACGCATCTGGCGTGTGACACACGCTTTCACTCTCAATCTCACGCTCTCACGCTGCCCAAACTATTCTCACGCCAAAAACAAGATGAACCGGCGATCCTTTTTGGTTGGTTATTTACAATGTTGAGTTGACAGCTGCTCAAGCTGTCAATCCGCTCCCTCCCCGCCCCCACCACTCTTAACAACGTTAACAGACAGCAGAGCAGTGGGAGCCGGTTGGTCAATCCCCGACCCGTATTGCGCATGCGCAGATCTAAGATCCAGTAGAAATGATAAAAAGTAAAAGTCTGCTGCTTATTGTTCTACTAGGCCAAAATAGAGTCAAAGAGTATATGAGAGTGAGAGTGTGTTAATTAATATATTTGGCCTTAACTTAAAGTATTATTTAATGTTTTAATAAAGCCTGATTAGTTTGCCTGATTTGCACATCCTCCTATTAATATCTGTGTACATCCGGCACTAAACTTTTATTGTAGAGATCACTTACAGTAGCCTATCTTGTTGATATTTTCTATTCTATATTTCTATTCTATATTTCTATCATTGACCTTCTACTTTCCCCCTATTTGTATGTACTCTTAATATTTAAATGTTTTCATCAAATGTAACCCATTCAACAAAACATGCAGCAGAGATTAGCAACACAACCTTACCGGCATTGCAATGACTGTAAACGTGTAATAACGTGCTTTAACCACTAGGTGAATAATACAGACGTATAAAGTACACATGGTATACAATGCTATCAAAAACACATTATGTTAATTTACATATCTAACTACCATTATCAAGCTAAATATGGACTATATGAGGCTAAGGCATTGTACCAGGTGTAGGCTAATTATGTAGGCTAAGTCAAAAACAGGCAACTGATGAGGTGTTTGAAAGGTAATTTATGAGGATCAAACAAATGAGGTACACAGAATACAATGCCATTTTATCTGTTTCATTATTAGTGTAGGACAGATATGTATATATAACACCTGAAGATGTTTTATTCATGTTAGTCATTACTTTTAATACTAGTTGAACATTACATTTTTACATTTGTATGTTTAAAAAAAAATGTTTCTAGTTATTGTGCTTTTTATCATGTTTTTAATTATTGTTTTATTATTGTACTCCCATTGTGTTATTTATTATTGTAGTTATTGCTTGTACAGCATTTTGGTCAACTGAAGGTTGTTTTAAATGTGATATATACAGGATATAGCTATATTATTGCACATATTTTAAAACATCAGACAAAAAGGTGTATCTGCCCCCTCATGGTGCTAATCAGTATGTGTGTTTGCTAAACAGAGATACAAACAGAACATGAGTGAACAGTCAAAACAATTTTTATCAACTTTATTGTTATGGGACCTTGTTTACATAGTGTTTCAGAGTAGACATGTAATAACATCTGAATAAAATGAAATGATAGAAAATGCCTTCAACAGCATATCAACAACCGGAAGAATAACTTACTGGACATACATATTAAGACATTAAGAAATGTGTCATTTTTTTTTTTTTGGAGGACCGCAGCTGACGAGAGGGGGTGTAGGGCTGAAAGAGGTCAGAGACGTATGCAGGGGCTAGGGAGTGGAGAGATGTGTAGGTTAGCAGGAGGAGTTTGTACTGGATGCGTGACTTGACCGGGAGCCAGTGAAGGTGGAGGAGGATGGGGGTGATGTGTTGCCAGGGCTTGGTGCGGGTGAGGAGCCTGGCTGCAGAGTTCTGGACGTACTGGAGCCTGTCCAGGGCTTTGCAGGTGACCCCGAACAGAACTCCATTGCAGTAGTCCAGGCGTGAGGAGATGAAGGTATGTATTAATGTTTCTGCAACGGGGTCGGGGAGAGAGGGCCGGAGTCTGGAGATGTTTCGAAGGTGAAAAAAAGCAGTTTTGACAGTAGACCTGATGTGGGAGTTGAAGGTGAGGCTAGAGTCCAGAGTGACGCCCAGGCTGGATGGAGCAGCCATCGACGGTGAGGAGCAGATCTCCAACCTCCCGGAGCAGTGTTTTTTGGGGCCACAACCATGAGCTCTGTTTTGTTTTTGTTGAATTTCAGTAGGTTTGTTGACATCCAGGTTTGGATGTTGCGGAGGCAGTTGACTAGTGACAGCTGGGATGATGGATTGGTACTGATGTAGAGTTGGGTGTCGTCGGCATAGGAGTGGAAGTTGAGACCATGTTGGCGGAGTATTTCACAGAGGGGGAGCATGTAGGTGTTAAATAGAAGGTAGTCTGGAGGGGGCTTCACCGTGTGTCATCAGAGCTGTCAGAGTCGCAGTCAGAAGACTCATCTGAAAGACTTTGCAAGAAGCTGATGGTCTCTGCTCCAGTCAAAAGCTGCAGATAGCATCGTCTAGCATGAGTCTTCATTTCTCCGATGTCGTGCTGCTTTTTCCTAAACATGCTCTGGAGACCTTTCATCCCGTCTTCGCTCAGGCCCAATGGTGAATCTTAAATGTATAAGATAAAGACAATATGAGTTACTTCATCACCTATCACTGATGTGTAAAGTCATGCAAAGTAAAAATGTAATATATACTGTACTTTGCAGGCAGGACATCTTTTTCAGGGAATCACTGCGGGTTGAAAGGACCTTCCAGTGTTGGTTCATTTCTGTGACGAGAATCTTCTTCTCCTCCTGTAGTCTCTTCACTGCCATGACAAGGTCGAATGCTCTTCTCTTTGTCCTGAGGTCGAAAGAGTCTGGAAAGCATTTATGAGAAAACATGAATGAATGTGTATGAAAGATCAACATTCAAAGAATCTATGAAGTCTTAAATAGATTTATATATCAGACATGAAGGTTTTCCACATTTGCTGTGAGCATTCAGCAGACTGGTGTACTTACCACTGTTTGGTAGCTGCCATGGCCAAGCTTTCTCCACAGACAGAATGGCTTCGAGGCACAGCGCTTCTGTGCTTGGAACCATTGAGTTGTATTTCTCAACTGTGGCTGTCAGGACCCCTTTCTCATCCCTGATCTTGCGGCGGATCCGGGAACGACCTTTGTTGCTGTCTGTGTCTTTGTAGAGACGCTGCGAACATCTCTTGACACTTACTGTCAGCATTTCGATCTTGCTGGCCAAGGCAGCAGCATCCCTTGGGTTGTTTGTTGTTGCTTTTTAGAGGAAATAGGTGTATTAAGCACAGTAATTCACAATAACAGTGACATTTGATCAAATGTTTTAATATTATTTTATTACATATGCTTCATGAAAAATAAGTAATGCAAATGTCAATAGAGGGTTATCACTAATTCTGAAGATTTAAAATAAATTGATAAATCATGACTACAAAAAAGTTGAAAAACGTCATTAAGATTGTCCTCACTTTCTGCCCACTCATTCACATCTCTGATCCAGTCTTCCAGCTGCTTTTCAGTCACTGCCAACTCAGCGTTCATGGACTCCAGGTTCTGCAATTGCTTTTCCAGAGCTTTTGTGGTCTACAAACGTCAAACAATTAAAGACAAATAAATACAGAAATCTACATTTAGGCTGCAGCCACAAATAATTCTTCTAAAACTATGTTATTACCTTCAGATATCTGCGGGACAGTGAGGTGGCCAAGTTGCTGACTTTTTGCTGATTCCAGCGCATGGCCATCAGCGTCAGCATGTCTGTACGTCCTGCAAAAGAGAATATCACATTATTACTATTCCTCTTACTTCTTATACTGTAACTGGGGTTTATACTATATTGCCATCCTAAATGGTGTTCTATGGTCATAACCGTCAATGAGCTTTTATGAGTTTGTGTTGTTGGTGTAATTTGTTAGTGTAATCTGTGCCTTTCTGAACATTTTTTGAAAACTGACAGTAAAGGTTCTATCGTAACTCACCTGCTTTTGACATGTGTTTTGTGGTCACTGCTATCCGAGAGAGGAAGGCATTGACCTGTTCCACCTCCTCCCCTAGGGTTAGTCCAGCCCCCTCTTGATATGCCCCACTCCATTTCACCTGTTTAAAATATATTCAAAAGTACGACTCGTTACAACTTGTCACTATTCACAAGGAGGTTTTTACATAAAGTGATTGTGTCACATGGTAACAATTCCTTACTTCACATTTGAAGTCATGCACTTTGGCATGAAACACTGAGAGAAAGGGCTTCATGTCGAGAAGATGCTGGAGCTCTGGACAGCTTTTTGTGATTCTCTGGAGGTAGGGCCAATATTTGCAGGTCACATCCATGCAAAAGAACATACTACTGGCCAGCTTTTTCTGTAGGTACAGGGGATAAGCAAAGATTTCTCCCCTGTACATATTGAGAGCACAGAGGAGCACTCCATGTCGACAGACGGCAAGCTCTAGTCCCTCCTCATCCAGCTTGCCGGCTGATTTTTGGGAGGTCTCTCTGGCTGCCGACCACTGTCCTCCACAAACACCTCTTCCGGAGACCTAATATATAAAAATGTATTGATGAAAATGGTGCAAAGACTAACCTAACCAAACCCTTCATTAGGATATTATATTATACATAATTAGAGTCTGCAATATTACATGTTTGGTTGTGGTGTGTATATAGTCCACAAATCTTGAGACGTCTTCATCCCTGGCTATAAAGACACCGTCAAAGATGGCCTGTTCCTCAGATCTAAATAAATCAAAGGAGCAATGTATGACATCTCAGATTATTGATTGATTGATTGGTTCACATCAAGATAGTTTTGTTTCGTTATTTGTTCAAATACTGTGACATTATATATTTTCTATAGTACCTAGCTGCATTCTTGAAACGGTAATGCTTGCGGTTTCCATCCACGGAAACTGCAAGCATATCAGGGCTACACGCAGGACAGGTGAAGGGCTCCTCCTTGCACATGATGTCGACCTCATAACGCACAGCCTCCCACTCAAAGAAACTTTTGATGAAGCTGTCAGTTGAGATCTTCCCAGTCTATAACAAAATAAGGACATCAACAGATAATGTCAAAAATAAATTATAAATTATAAGGACACAGCTTACAATTTGTACAATACAAATAGATCAAAAAGGACAAGTAACTTCAATACTCACACGGCCGAAGCGCAACGTTCGCTGATCGAGCATCCTTAAATGCCTGAAAGGATAGTCCAGGTGCAGCCATTTTCATTTCTTCAAATGAGAAGAAAACATCTGTGGCATAAATGGTGGCGAAGTGAAGGGTAGCTGGCCAGTAGTCACTCCGAAGAAGGTCGTCAACCCCAGTCGTCCATGTCGCAGCGCATGCTTCACAAGCCAACTCTGGCATGCTTAGCTCATGTCGTCCTTGAAAAACAGACAAGGTGTTTTTAATACATTTGGTATTCTTTACTCAATACCCATGTTAAGGTTTAATAGACAAGCTATCCCACATGTCTTTGAGAAGGGTTGGATATTATCAAGAAGAAACTTCAATAACATCTATCTTAAGAAACAAGACAAACATTCTTCCCATTCTTACCATTCATTGGGATCACAGTCACAGTCTTTCCTGGCTTGAGGCTCAATGACTCTGATGCACAACCACAGATTTTGTCCGGGATCTCCACAGGTACAAACCGCACTGGAAAAAAATTCAAATGGGAATTAAAAATAATTTGTCTCTTTTGAAAAATACTACATTGTTATGTGACATATTTAGGATTTAACTTTACATCAGAACATTAAAAAGAGACTTAAGCACACTGCTGGGAATTAACACAGAGATGTTGAGGAAGCTCACATTTTCAAAATGAAATTCTCAACAAGTCCAGCAAGAAAATGTACATTCACAAACCAGAACTTACCACAGGAGCAAAGGGCCATATTTAGTACATGTGTTGTTGGGGCCAATGGCTGGAAGTAACCTGCAGTAGTAGCATCTCTGTTGTGGAGGGGGTGTCTGGAGTGCATGCTGACATCACAGTCAGCACAGAAGAAGGGATGTGGTCGGCAATCCCGGCACCGGACAACAGACGTTTTGCCCCAACACTGTTGGCAAATGTGTGTTCCCACATTTGCTTGGGCCACTACGGTGTTAACTAGATGTGGTCTCGCTGCCCTCCAGCTCTCTGAAAAAAAACTTTTTCGAGTGCTCCAGTTGGTCGATGCCAGCAGAGAAGCACTTGGGGTTTGTGCTACCACCTCATCTCCTGTAGTATCGCTCAGAGACTGCTGGAGATCTCGTAGAAACCCCTCTGTTAAAACGGTACAATAAAGTCCAAAGCACAATGATTAGTTTTCTTTAAAACATACTGGATGGAGTGGTTTTGAAAGCTGTAACTACTGTGTTTTTAATTCTAGCAAATTATGAAGTTTAGAAATGAAGTACGTATCACATAAAGATACAAGTATGAATATGTGTTTCGGGCTAACCAGACCAAATGAAGTACATACCAACAGTCTCTGGAGCGATAACTGGAGCAAAGATCAGATCACAGTCAGGAGCAGCAACGGGGGGATCAGTGTTACGACTGCAGCCAGCTGTATCAGAAAAAACATTTATTTTATACCATTAAATTGTACTACTTTTCCCTTACCAAGAGTTATGTTTTCATTCATTTCATATACTCAAGTGCCTAGAAATATATATCTTATACTGACCCTGATTTGAGACATTCCGGGTTGAACGTGGTCTTGCAAAGATCAAGTTTCCCTCACTGTCTCTCTTCTTCCAGCACATCATTGACACTGCTGGCACTGTTGCTGCTGCTGCTACTGCTGCTGTTGTTGCCGCTTCCAAGTGGAAGCAGCAACAACAGCAGCAGTAGCAGTACAAAGCAAATCATCAGCACTCCGTAGGTCATCCCTTAACTCTTTCTGCTCAACCAGCTCATCTGCGCTTCTCAGGAGATCCTCAAGATCAGAATCACTCATTATAGTGAAGAGACACAGACAGAGACACAGAAGAAAGACTGACAACAGAGTTAGACAGAGAAATAAATAGAGAGATAGGAAGAGACTATCAAGTACAACACAGCAAGGACAGTTTAACAAGACAGACTTGGCTCTTAAAAGTGCCTTTGGGTTGTTTGGAGTTTGGAAAAACAAAGGGTTGTTTTTTGGAGAACAAATTGCAGGATCTGTTGAGAGAAAACAACATAATTTAGAAACTCAAAAATAAAATAACAATGCCAGTGTAATTGTTGTTGTTTACAATTTTCTACTTGGCTAATAACCAATTAATGCTTACTACTGTTGTCATTAAAGGTATTTTCACACCATCGCACAGCAAAATCACTGCCACCAGTCATTTAAATAAGTAATTTGTACAAAAATTATAAAAGTATTATTACTATTAATACTAAAAACACATGTATACAAAGTATTATTAATAGATTTACGATTCGAAAATTATAAAAGCAGAGTAGACATGTGGAGATTATCCGGCTGAACAAAACGTGATCCGTCTCTGAGCTAGCTAGCTAGCTCAGGCGAGTTCATTTGTTATATTTAGGTAATACCCTAGTAGAGTGGAGATTATCCGGCTGAACAAAACGTGATCCGTCTCTTAAATGTGTGTCAACCACAGACCTTATTTCGAGCTATTTTCCAAAATTCTATGGAGAAATTGCAGTGTGTGTTCTAGCTAGCTAGCTAGCAAGCTAGCTCAGGCGAGTTCATTTGTTATATTTAGGTAATACCCTATATTATTTAGTTACTATACCCCTCAGAAAGGTGCCAGAAGCAACATTGGCGCCGATTAGATTATTATTATTATTATTATTATTATTATTCGTGGCTAAGTTTATTTCCTATAACTATGTGTTACCCATGCTCTTACCTTGATTCTGAAGAACTGCGACTCTCTTATCCAGGTTTGGTCACGTAAAGTGCAAAGGTATGCCGTCTTTACGACGGTACCTGAGGATTGTGGGTAATGTAATCGCAAAGCGGACAGAAGTCGTAACAACAATAGCTGGGGATTGTGGGTAGTGTAGTGTCTTCGGCCATCCAAAACTCAAAAGTCGTCACAACAATAGCTGGGGATTGTGGGTAGTGTAGTCTCTTTGGCGCTCCACATTTCAGAGAAAACAAGTTGTCTCAGAATTGTAGGGGAAAAACACAAAAGCATTGTACACAATTTAAACCTATCAATGTCGTTTAATTAACAAAGGTAATCTGGTGTTTTTGAGTGGATGAGTAATGGAGATATCACTGTCAAATCAATCGACAGTAAGGAGAATACTTACTTCCGGGTGTACAATTCTCCGTTATCCAATGGGAATGGACGCTCACATTGCCTTTAACAGCTGCCGACACAAACGAATGCCGTGCTTCCCTAAGCGTCAAATACCGACGCCGATGGGAATACATTGCAATCAGTTGAAAGCTCTTTGCATCCGTTTATGACGCTGATGGAAACTCGGCGCGTCACAACTGGACGCCACGGAATTCTGACCAAGCGTCGCTCCTGGACGCGTTGGGAGTGAGAGTGTGTTGCAAAAACACCCATTTCCACCCAAATGGCCTCAGAGGTGGAGTTGTTTTTGCTAAACCTCTCTAAAAAGGTCAAATTTCACTTGTTTTGCATCAATCTTGATACAGGGTACTTATTATATGTTGTACTTTGGATTCCTAAAGCTTTTAGTCTACTAACCCATCATCCAAGGGTAGTTTTCACTATAAGTAAAAAAGAATATTTGGACGGACACTATAATTTACAGTTCTTTACTATGTTCAATCTGAATTTTCTTTAAAATAAAAAACATCTATATTGATTCTGACTTTTCTACATCCAACTCACAGGTTTATCATTACTTTGAGAAAAAAGATTATTAATTTTCCCCTTTTAGAAGTGTAGTTATGGTCATTTGTTCTGGACATGTCATTTTCAAGCCGGTTAAAACAGGTTAAAACAGGTTAAAACATTTTCTATCAGAGGACACCGCAAAGGCTTACAAGCAATGGCAGACCTGTGTGATGTATTTTAGCTTCAAACAATATATAAATTAACAATATGTAATGTATTGATATATAAACTTATGCTGTTAACTCAATCTGCTTGTTGACATATTGCATATCAAATGGTTGTTCAGTGAAGTATTGTGTTCAGTGCAGGTGATGTCCTTTGAGACATCCTTGTAATGAACGCCTTCAAAAATTAATTAACTAGACTAATCTTCTTCATCAAATAAAAACGTAAAGAGAGAGAGAAGAAGAAAGGTGACATGGGATTTGGATCTTATCTTATGTGACATGAAACCATTTGTGTCACCTCTGAAGCTTGTTAAAGTGAAATATAAGGGAGAAGGTGAAGAGGGAAGTGCAGGCATGGAGATGATTGATAAAATGAGCAAGTGAAGAAAAGGAGGTGCAGTGGAGGCGGATGTTGTGGGTTGTGTGGGAGGACATCAAATGTACAGGAAAACTGTTTGGGTGTTGGTTGTAATAATAGCTATTCAGAGGATGCCGTGCTGAGAGAGAGGCAAGGTATAGAATTATGTTTGACAACCACAGGTGCAGAGCATGTCAAAGGAACAGTGACAGCAGAATAGATGAGTGAAACACAGAGTGGAAGAAACAGCGAGGGGGGTTGGAACAGTTGGATGGAGTAGGATTGAGAGAGAGGAGGGAGGAGAAAAGAAATGACAGTTTTGCTTGAAGCAGGATACCTGTATTCTCCTGTTCTCTCCTCTTTCTTTCTTTAAACTCTATTTTGCAACCGCTTTAAGGTTTATCCGACCTTCAATTCAACCTCTTCGGACCCCCATGTTCTTCCAAACTTGCTATCCAACCTCTCAACCTTGCCGTGCTTATTCTCTCAGAGTTCGTTTGCTTGATCGACGAGGTAATTACCAGGAAGTGTATAAGGATCCCACCTGAGAGGCTCAGTGCATGTGTGTGTGTAGAGTGTGTGATCCAATGCAATTATAAGGGATTAAGATGTTTATCAAACTGCTGTTGTAAACCTTGAGGACAGACTCTCACACACACAAACACACACACGGAATAACCCGCAGTGAAACACAAATACCCAGAAATAGATGCATAGAAGTGCTGGCTCTGATCGCAACGTAATTTGTGATTTTAAGATTGCTTGGATGTAGGAGAAGGACTTTCTTTACTTTGGTTTGATTATGATCCTGCATCAGTTTTGCAACAGTTCCAACAAAACAAAAAAAACCTGCAAACAGCTAAGATGTAAAAAACCTAAATTAGCCATTGACATCAATAAAAGTTCATGATTTAAATTAATAGGTTTTGAATGTGTATTTACTTGATATCAAGCAGCTGCTGGATACAATGGAATACGTGAAAATGTAGGCACCATCCCTGTGCTGGATTATGAATTGTTGCGGTTAATAATGCTTTCTTACTATTGATAGCATAAGGATGCTCATCAGTGGGCAGAATGCTGCCTATGTGTCTTTGATGTGTTTGTGATTAACACTGATCTGAAGATAAAAAAGTGCATTAAGTGTACAAACACTATTGGCGCACACACACACAGTGTAGCGTAGACGGCCTCTCTCTCACTGTTCTACTATCTATTATAATGATCATGGTCACTGTGGATTTTTATATGGAGGCACTTCATTTTTTTTGTATCATCAAAAAGGGTCAGTATCATCAAAAAGGGTCAGTAAAAAGTGAAATACCATTACAGTTGGTATAAATAAAAAGGATAAAATCATACGTATTGTGAACAGTGAAGGCTGATCTTTGTTTAATGACAGGACTAAAAATCTTAGATTTTGTTAACAAAACTCTTACATTTAGGAGGTGTTTTACTGTTTTGTGCTCAGCTAAGCATGAGTGAATATGCGCTACATTATAGGGTGTCTATAGCTACAGTAATGTTAAATGTTCCCAGGTTGTACTGTGACGGATGACCTCCTGTCCCCGCCAAATGAAAACACGAACACGGGGCTGTAATCACATCTATAAATGCAATTGAAAATCCATAACATTTTACTCTTACCGCCAGAACAATCAATGTCGAGCTCACACCTTTGGTCTGCGTTATAAAACAGGTCTGTTGCTGTACGTAACAGGACAATAGTCCGGGGCCAATAAAGCGAGAAACAATATTTGTCTGCGAAGCGGGTTAAACTTGGACAGATTATAAACTGGGAGAATAACAGGAGAGGACAGAGATAAAAGAGGGAATAAAGCAGAGAGAAAGTACTGAGAAGGTGATAAAGCTGAGAATAGTGGTGAGCAATCAACATCATTTGATGAAAGCGAAAGTCAGGGGAGGGTGTAAGTTGAAAAGTCAAGAAGATGATAGAGCATTAGACTTAGGAACACATCAGAGGGAGGCATTACAGAATAAAGATCACACACTTAAGAAAAGAGAACGAATGTCACACTAAATGGAAATAACACAACATCATGTTGTTTGAGGGTAGGATCTTTTAGTTTGTTATTACAGTGACACAAGCTGTTTGAATGCTCTGTATGAGCTTTGAATTATGTACAAGGAGTCTCCAAACAACATCTGAGAATACAATTATGATAACATCCTCACTTGGGCACAAGAGCTTGTTAAGAGACAGTTATAAAAGTAGTTGTCGTTGTTGAGTACTTGAATAGTGACTGGGTGGAACTGGAATTGCAGAAAAAATTGAATTAGTCAGACCTTGATATAGAACTCCTTTGCCCCAAAGTGTCACTGTCTGTACACAATCATCAAATGTTGTTAGGCTATCATGGGCATAGTGTTGCTGGAATTGATTGGGGAGTGCAAATACACTCTGAATTTACATCAGTTGGATTTGGCTCAACAATGTTACACTGAAACGAATGTGGATGAATAACTTTCTGCTGCAATGCAGTCCTCATCTCAGGCTGTAGGCAAAAAGAACAATAACCTCAGCTTACCAAAAAACTTGTCTGCGAGTCTATGTGAACACGTTGTTTTGTGGTTATGCGTCCATGTTTGTTTGTGTGAAAATGCACATTTGTGCGTACCCAACTAAACAGTTCCTCCGGCTGTTGTGCTACACTGAAAGAAACACTATTCAGGAGATTAAACAGAGTCTTTAATGTCTCAGCAAGACGCAACACAAACACACTCAGACAATGAGATAGAGATATCAGTAGTAACAGAGATAAATACACACACACACTCCCAAAATAAAAATGCCCAGCTATTGAAAGTTAATACAGCATAGCATATTGTCCTGTTGGATGACTGGGATGCTTCCAAAGGCACTTGTCACTTATTTTGTTTGCAACCTTATGAAACCTTGTATATCCAGTGTAGCAATAGGGATATATTCAAAACGTTTTTTTTCTTTACCGTATTCCATATTTGAAGGGATAAAATATGTATTGTTACAAAAAGCACTTTTCACAGCAGACATTTTGACTTGTCACAGCAGGAACTGCACAGGTGAAATTAGTATGGATGAAGGCTCAATTCCAAGTTGTAAGCCCTACAAGTGAGGAAACATGCCGAATGGCAGCAGGGCTCTGGAACCGAAACACTTGAAAAAACTGTGTTTTCCTGCTTAGAAATAGATCATAAAACCCACAAGCTACCTGCTGAGCCGCAAACAGCTGACAGACACAGTTTGGGGCTAGCTGGTGAATATATAATTTCGCAGCCTTATATTTTTCTCATGACCTCGTTATCGTTAATACCAGACCAGAGCTAAGGAAGAGCAAATATTGGAATTACATTTATCAGGTAGACAATCACAACTCCAAATGAATGGTTGAATGGTTGCTTTGTTACAGCTAATTTGTAAATAGGCAACTGTTTGCTTACAATATTGTACCATTAACCCAAATGGTGATAGCAATGTCATATCTTGTTTTGACTCTAGAAAATCATCAAACCAAGGTTTTAGCTTAATTGGC